AACTTCCGGGGAGGTATTAACAAGGACATTCAAAAAGTAAATAAAAATATTTGGACAGCAGTTTCTCTCTCACTAGAGCAGGGGTGGGGACCTTTTTTCTGGCAAGGGCCATTTGGATATTTATAACATCATTCGAGGGCTATACAAAATTACCAACTTAAAAATTAGCCTGCTAGCCCTAGCCAGTTTGGCTCAGTGGATAGAGCAGCGGCCCTCAGACGGAAGGGATCTGGGTTTCAATTCCAGTCAAGGGCACATCCCCAGGCTCCATCCCTGGTCCTAGTTGGGGTGCGTGCAGGAGGCAACCAATTGATGTGTCTCTCTCATATGGATGTTTCTTTCTGTCTCTCCCCCTCCCTTCCACTCTTTCTAAAAATCAATGGAAAAATATCCTCAGGTGAGTATTAATTACAACAACAAAAAATCAGTCTGCTAATCAAACATTTAATTAACGCATCCCTAATGCCTTGGCAGGGCCAGACCAAATGATTTCTTGGGCCTTATAAAGCCCACAGGTGGACATTCCCTACCCCCACTCTAGAGGGAGAGTATTTCTGACACCCCAAGAGGTCTTAGAGTATGCACAGAGTTCACACTGCAGCGCTAACTGGGTTTTGATAGGTACCAAGCCAGGCGAGCTAGATGGCACACCATTAAAGTTATGACCAGTTCTCTCAAGTTTTCCATGCGGGTCACAAATTGGGGGTTCAGAAAATAAGGTCCCAGAGTCACGGGCTAGGCTCCTTCTGGGCTAAGATGTATGTAGTCATTTTGCTGAGGGAAAACCAGAGGGAAGGGAAGGATGGAGGGAAAGAAGCTGCTTGGTAAGAGGCGAGGAGTTAGAGTAGTGCTGGGGAAGTGAGATGGAATCTCCATGCCCCATATACCAACCCTCCCCTTCCTACTCTTGTCCTCAGGTGGTGACCCTGTGGTACCGAGCACCTGAAATCCTTCTGGGCTGCAAATACTACTCCACAGCTGTGGACATCTGGAGCCTTGGCTGCATCTTTGCTGAGATGGTACAGATACATGCCTGAGTTCCACCCTGGCCCACTCCTCCCCACATTCAACAACAGAACTGTTTCTTGGCCCAGATCCATGGCCCTTCTATTATCACAGGGTTCTTTCTCTAGAGTAGCACTCAGGGGTGGTGGGAAAAGGATAGGACTGTTGTTCCTGGTGTCAACCACAATGCTAGGATAGCCTCAAATAGCTTTAGCATCCTTGTACATCTCTGATCCCCAAGTTAAGCTAAATAATTTCTGTAGCTGCTTTCGCTTTAGTCTGCCTATATTTGGTAGCATGAGTTCCATTTAGTGCTTCCTTCCTTTTTGGCCTGGAGACCGTATTGCACGGTGTGAGGAATGCAGTGAAGCCACCTGTGTTCAGTTTATCCACATTTTTTACTTAAACTGCAAACTTAGCTCATGTCCCCACTCAACCTCTGGCTTTTGAGACTAAAGGATCCCTGAAGCCCAGCCTTAATATGTGAACTGTCGTCCCATTTAATACAATAATGGAGTGGGCTGAGTTTTTAAATCAAATCAATATGTTTTATGGTCCTTCATCTGGGTTGTAACCGGGGGCTTGGAGACCATTAGCCTATATATATAATGTGCATTTATCCCCCAGTGCATTACTTTACAATTGCCCATATTCCTCTCTCAATTCATCAAAAAATATTTGTTAAGCACCTAGTGTGTACCCAGCACCATGCTAAGTGCTGTGGGGAACACAGAAGAAATGGAAGACACAGTCTCTGCACGCTGTGCTCCTATCTAGAAGTGGCTGCATCACAAGGAGGGGGGATGACCGCAGTGTCTACCCCACACCCCGTGAGTGGCTTGGGATCCCTTTGCTACACGTCAGTGGCACCCCAGACATTCACCCCCTCCCAGTCCCACCCAGCCTTGGGGATCTGCAAAACCATGGTTGGGGGAAGGAAGGAGGGGGCGAGGAGACGGATGAAGGGACTTTATTGTCTCAGGCTCTGTGTGACTGACCCCATCAAAGGCCCTGGGGAGGGAGTCATGGGGCCCTACTGACCTTCCACTGCCTGCGGGAACCTCCGTTATACAAGGGGCAGTTTTGACTGACGCCAATGTGGGTCTCGGCCTTTCCTCTTTCCCCATTTTCAGGTGACTCGCCGGGCCCTATTCCCTGGAGATTCTGAGATTGACCAACTCTTCCGGATCTTTCGGACTCTGGGGACCCCAGATGAGGTGGTTTGGCCAGGAGTTACTTCTATGCCTGATTATAAGCCAAGTTTCCCCAAGTGGGCCCGGCAAGATTTTAGTAAAGTTGTGCCTCCCTTGGATGAAGATGGACGGAGCTTATTATCGGTGAGAATGGGGGGGGTGGGCTCCCGGGGGTGGGCTCCCTTTCCTCTCATTGACTACCGTAGGGCAGGGTTTTTCCTGGAGGAAGGAAGGGTAAGCCCCTGGATTCAGTCTCAGTGTTTCCCTAACTCCTGCTTCTGTCTCCCTGTTGGCATACCAACTGACCGGACAGATACAGGGAGGAGGGAAATGGGAACTCTGCCTTGGGTAAAATGAATTCTGGTTTCCCGAATTCTTGGAATACTTGCTGTCCACTAAGCCCGCTATCACATCACTAAAGTCAATATACATCTTTTCCTCCAGCAAATGCTGCACTACGACCCCAACAAACGGATTTCAGCAAAGGCAGCTCTGACTCACCCTTTCTTCCAGGATGTGACCAAGCCAGTACCCCATCTTCGACTCTGATGTCCTTCTCCAAGCCCCGGTCTCACCCTCTCCTCCAGTGGGGGGCCTGATCTGGCTTGGCCTTGGGCTCTGGGTGTCCTCTATTTTGTCTGGCTGCCTTAACACTCCTTACTTTCCTTCTGAGCCAGCCAACTCTGGGGATACAAGGGGTCGGAGGGGAAAAAATAAAAGGAAACTTCAGTATTAGATGCACTTAAGTCAGCCTCTACCAACCCTCCTTAGTCATTGCTAAGGAGAGCTGGTGTTTAAAAAAAAAAAAAAAGACTGACTCTTTCCTCTCCCCCCACATAGGATTTGCCATTCCAATCTCTGAAAGCCCCACAGTTATTATTTCCTGTGTTTGAGATGACAGAGGTCCCAAACCTCCTGCTGCCACTGTGTTAGGCCAATTGATGACAATTGGAATTTTGAAAACCAAGCAAAACGAAAACATAGAGAGGGACCTGTTTTGAAAAATTAAAAAATAGATCCAACCAGTCTATACCCTAGTTTCAGTGTTTGCTCTCCCGTAGCAGTCAGAGAGTCTCAGGACTCCCAGCCTCTGCAATCCTGTTGGGGCTACAGTAGAAATGATTGCCCCCAGTGCCCTTATCTGCCCCTCCTGTCCCTCCTATAAGCAAGGGATGTCTGGGACAGGGATTATGCTTCACCGTGGCCTTATGAGGCAAGTGAAAGATATTTGGATTTTCCTCTTTTAAAATTCTTAGTTCTTCAGGTGGCAGGGCACATCTTCCTCTGAAGGCCACCCCCATAGGAGTGGAAGTAAAGATTAGACATCATTTTGAGAATACTGACACTTTTTTAGGGCTGTGAATGAGTGGGAGCACGGAGATAAAATATTTCTTTAAAAGAAGGATGAATAATTATATTTATATTTCAGGTTATAGTAGTTTTTTAGTGGGAGTGGGTGAATTTGTTGCCATGTGCACCTTGGGGTTTTGTAATGCAAATGTTTAAAAAAATATTGTTTTTCTTTTCTCTTACCTCTTGTCCTTGAGTGTTCTTGCTATTAACATTATTTGTAATTCATTAAAAAAAAGTTACTAGTGTTATAGTTTATCTTCCCTCCTTTACTTTTGTGTACTTATTTATTGAAAGAATGGTGGTGAGAGAATATGAATGTGTATAGATGATCATTGGTTTCAGACCCCCACTTTTCCTCATCTCTCTGTGCAGGACTACTCACCCCACGGCATTTTGACTTCTATGATGAAATTGGGATAGTGCCGAGGGTGGGCAAAGTGGGAATTATTACCCTATTTTACAGCTGGAGGAACTGAAGCCTTCATATTTTCCCCACAAACCAGCATCTCTCCCTACCCCTTCCCTCCCCACCCCCACCCCACTCCCCCAACTCACATATAACCACAGACACACATACTGAGTTCTGGAATTTCAGTGTTAGGAAGGGCTTGAGAGCAGCAATATGATTGCAGGTGGGCTCCACGGAATTCACCTCAACACCGCATTTCCCAGTAAGCTCGTCATTTTTCCTTTTTGTTGCATATCACAAACACCAAAGTTTTCTAAATATACGTTATTCACCTTTATAATACGATTCATAATACTGTCAACTGGATGAAAAATTATTATGAAGGGGCTAAAGTCTCCCCAAGCTACCGGTTCGTGGGGCTGCCATTGTCTCTCTTCATTAAAGTCATCTCAGACCACCCACCCTAAAATTCCCTGTATTCTGAGGCCCCACTAAAAGGAGGAAGTCCCGACTTAAAAGCTGCTTAAACCCCCAGGCTCCGGCTCCCACGGAGAGGTATTTCCCTTCACGCCCGCAAATTGGTCCTGGAGGGAGGGGCGCTCGTCAGTCCCTGCCAAATCCGGGGGGAGGGGCGAAGGTCAGAGGCTTCCTTCAACCCCGCCTTGCCTGCCATTCAAGTCCCGAACTTTCGCAGTACTGGTTAAAGTTTCCCTTCGGCCCGCCTCCGTCACTCACCTGATTAGATGTTTATGAGTCAAAAGGCGGGGTCCTGAGGGTGTCAAGAGTTTATTGGTTGGTCTGTACGCCTGTCAACAGTGTACCGCCTCCTGTCTCCGGGAGCTCCCTCGTCAATGGCTCCTCACCCTGTCCATATTCAAGGTTTCCCTCTTCCTATTGGCCTGGGGACACGCCTGTCCGGTCCCAGGCTCGTCCTCGTTGGTGACAGCGCGGAAACAGGCCCGCCTTTCTCCGAAGGATTGGCGGAACGGCGCACACAGAGCCCACCCTTGATGGTAGGCGTAATTGTGCTATTGGCCGGGGCCCCCGCCCCAGGGCGAGGAGGAGGAGGAGGGGCTGGAGGGTTTGGTTGAGCTGCGGCTGTTTGTCTGTTCGACACAGGCTTGGGCCCGACGGGGGAGACGGAGCCCCAGGTACCGGGCTGATGGAGCCCTGTAGGGTAGGGGCGGAGGCGCCCGGGAGAGGAGAGCAGCCTGGCCTGAGAGCAGAGGCGGGTCTGGGCCTCAGCGATGGGGTTAGAGCGGCCCGCTGGAGAGGGGAGAAGGGGGCCGGGCCCCGGCAGGCCTTATGGGGGCGCTGGGGAGGGGGCTAGGCGGGCTGGGAGCCCGAAGTTGGTGAGGCTGGGTTCTGCCGGCGGCGGGCCTGGGAGTGGGCACGCAAGGCCCCGGTCTGTGTGAGGGCAGGGCAGGCCTCATTGAGCAGCGCTGAGAGGGAGGAGCTGGAGGAAAGGCCGGGCAGCCGGTGAGGTAAGCCCATCTGCGGGGAGGTGAGGAGGGGTCAGCCCCAACGCCCGGCCCCGAGCGTCACCGGGGCTGGCGCTCTCGAGAGGTCTGATTGGAAGGGCCCAAGAAGGGTTCTGAGTTGGGTAGGAAGCCTTCTTTTTCCGGGAAAGTGACAATTATAACAATAGGGAGGGTGCCCCGGAGTTGCGTGGAGAGGAGGATTTGGGTTCGTGAGGCCAGCGAAGAAAGCTTCCTAACCGAGAAGGCTGAGGTAGCTGGGGAGCTGGACGCAGGGCCTGGCGTCACCGTGCAGCTTGTGGGGTCGCTCCAGGGTGGGCTGGAGGCTCTGGGGCTTGGGAGGACCCACTCTTTTGTTCGCATTGAGTTGGAGATGTGGTGACTGGAAGTTTTGGGTACTCCCAGGGTAGCCAATGAAAACAAACGTAATTTTTTTTTCTCCTGTGACTTGGCTGTTCCAAACTTAAACCCTCCACTTTCCCTTGGCTTCAGCTGGAGAGTGCACGCTCTCTGTTTCTTCCTACCAGCCTCGGATGGTTTAGGGTGCAGTGCTTGTGCAAGAGCTGAGAAGTTGGATTTGGGGGATGTTTGCTTGTTTTCCCACGCGGTAATGTGGTCTGTGGTGGATACCATAGCTCTCACTTGGAAGTGGGGAATGAGCCAGCTCCTCTGCCCTGGAAAGGGGCTGAGGGATTCCCCAGCCACCAGGAGAGCTTCCAGCCATAGTCAGTGATACTTTGTAGGACTTAGACTTGGTTGTTTCCTAGGCAGGTAATGATTAGGTGGAACCAACCCTGGAAATAAGAAGTGATATCACTTGAGGAAGGGATTTGGGGAAGAGAAATTCTATTCCACAAGGTTGCCATCACCCCTGTTCTTTGTTTACTTCTTCAGGAGCCCCGGTTAGAAATAGCAAACAGCCCTGGCTGGTTTGGCTCAGTGGATAGAGCATCCGCCTGCGGATTGAAGGGTCCCAGGTTCAATTTCAGTCAAGAGCATATGCCCCGGTTGCGGGCTGGGTGCCCAGTAGGGGGCGTGCAGGAGGCAGCCCATCAGTGATTCTTTCTCATCATTGATGTTTCCATCCCTCCCTCTCCCTTCCTTTCTGAAATCAATAAAAATATATTTTTTTAAAAAAATAGCAAACAGTAAGGCACTTGGGGAAAGGGGTGAGTAGAGAAAAGGAAGATGTATTTCTAAGGCACAAGAGTCCCCTCCTCCCATATGTTTTTAATGGTCTGACCTTAGTCTCCCATAGATTGGATCTTTTTAGGTGTCCCCTTATACTTCCTCCTTTTTTCCTTTTATACCAATGTATTTTGTCACTACATTTCTTCTTAATGTGAAAAGTAATATGTACATATTTTTAAATATTCAAGCTGTACATAAGTGTAAAAAGTGTAAATGCTCCCACACATAACCTCACCAATTACATTTCATCCAGAAAAGTCAGAGATAAGAGATAGCATATGAGACTAATCTTGCTTTGCTTTGGGGAATGTGCCACCAAAGGCAATTTTGTTTTATGTTCCTACCGAACGCTGGTCTCGTTCTTTTCAGTTTCCCTTCTGGGATGATACTCTGTTATTTATTGTGCTCCTTTCACAGTTCTTCTTGTCTTGCTTCTATCAAATTCAGACAAGCAAAGAGCTGTACTCTGGGTTATCCCTCACCTTACACACACCCCAGTTGTGCGGTGGGTATCTTAGAAAATGCCCAGATAGATGGCCAAAACTTTTTTCTCTTTTATGAGCAGGAAAAAAACATGAAGGAGAATCATTTTGTTTGGAGTACTATTGGCATCTCTGCTAAATGAGAAATTTGAGACCTCTATCTTCCTGTTCATGGTCTCTGCCTGTGTAGATTATATGACTGTCACTTCATTATCCTAAAAGAAGATGATGGTTCTCCTAAGGGTCCCTTGTATCTTTCTATGAGAAGCTCCCAAGTTTCTCTAGATAAGAAATTGGCTGTCCTTTAAACCTAGCACAACTGGGACATTTCATACTACCTCCTTGTTGAATTTATCCTTACTGGCTTTAGAAGTCCTCTGATATGCCCAGCCTTTGTACAGAAACCTTGACTGTGTCCCCCAGGAGTTTTTATTTCCTCTCCGGCAAAGCCAGTCCTAGAGAAAATTGTAAGAGTTTGTATGTGTGTGTTTTAATCCTCTCTAGACTTCGCCGTGTTCTACAACCTGGTGATATCCTGTCCCTTTCTTTATATACTTCTTGGTCTTTTCTACCTTCCCCTTAATCAAAGCCGACCTTTAAGAAATCTGGAATTGCTTCATATTAAGGTGTAACTATTTGTTAATAGTCCCTTAAAGTATTAATCTTCCCAAGAGTTTTTGTTTCATAAGAAGGAGCTAAGGAGTGGAATTATCAATATAGAATTTCAAACATAAACCTTGAGTTACAAAAATTTACTTGAAGAAGGGGGCTTTCCTATTGCCCTTGAAGTCATACCTTGTATCTTCTCTTACTTTGCCCAGGAGCAAGATTGCTCCTCTATAGTTTGCTTGTTTGTGTGCATAGATAAGGATTTGACTTCTGAGGAGGCAGAGGGTAGGAGAAATAAGTGTATAGCTCCTATTCCTAAGGCATTCAGATTGGAAAGTAAACAAAGTGTAAGACAGTGACTTACGGAAATGCAACAGCTCTCTAGGAGGAAGGATAGCTTAAAACCCTACACAATACACTCCCACTTCCCAAGAGTATTTTGGGAAAGATTTAGTCATTGACTGAATAGTAACTAAGCTGAGTAAGGAGCCACCCGTGTGAGCAAATTCTGTGCAAATTTCTGAACCAGGTTGTAGCTTCTGTTTAGGGACCGTGGGTACCTTTTCAGTGTCCTCAAGCTCTGTGGTGATATGAGTATTTGTGTGTGTGTTGTTTTTGTTAATCCTCACCCAAGGATATTTTTCCATTGATTTCTTTAAAGAGAGTGGAAGGGAGAGGAAGAGACATAGAAACATTGATGTGAGAGAGACACATCAATTGGTTGCTTCCCACATGCCTTTGCCAGAGATTGTGCCTGCAACAGAGGTATGTGCCCTTGACCAGAATCCAACCCAGGACCCTTCAGTCCCCAAGCTAACGCTCTATCTACGGAGTCACACCAGCTAGGGCTGTATGAGGTATTGTGTTTTTTATTTTTAATTTGTGTTTCTCAAGGTCAAAAATTAATAGAGATAATGGCCCAAAGTTTGTTGAACATTAATATCAACTGAAAATTCAGGGAATTTTTTTATTTAGCCATAGTTGCTTCAGTGTTGGGGTGGGAGGGCCACATGTTCAGTGTGATTAGGCCATTTGAGGCATAGTAACGGGTGACAGGAAAAGCAGTTAGCCCATATGAGTTGCAACAGTACCTTGTGGGTTGGGTCCCTAGGGGGCCCTCCATCCAAGGGAGATCACAAAGCAGCCAGGGAGAGAATTGGTTCTCTGAGGCTGATTAAAAACTTTTCCAACTGGAAATAAGTAAGAAGCTATCCAGATGGCATGGAAGGGGAGGAGTTAATGGAGGGAGGAAGCAGGATTGCTTTGGTCTTAATATAAGGAGCATTTAATGAACATCTACTAGGGATCAGGTATTGTGCTCTGCTCTGGAGATTCAAGATAACATAAAAAGTAGTCACACTTTTTGAGAAGTACATAGTTTAAACTATTATGACATAATAAATGCTGTGATAGTAATACAGTCTTAATACTGTGTGACCCCAGAGGAAGCAGTGATGAATACTGCTGGAGTGAGAGGGTAATTATGCAATTTCATAGAGAAGGTGACATTTGAGCTGGGCTTTAAAAAATACATTAGAAGTTTGCTAGGCAGGCAAGGTGTGAAAGGGCATTCCAATCTTTCCTAGGTCAATAGTAGGGAGTTTGTACTACCATGCTGATAAGAGAGAAGTATGCTTTTTGCCTCTTGGGGAAATATAAGGGAAAGAGAGGGGGAAGTGGAAGGACTCTCTCATTCAAGCCAGTGATTCACTGGTTAACACCAGATCAACACAATGAAAGAGCTGAGCCAAATAGTGGAGCTCTCAGTTCAAGATGTTTGTAATTTGGAATCTAAATAAAGTTTGCAAGTTGAAGGTTTTTACTGGCTTCTGCCCTATCTTCCATACTCAGTAAATCTCTCCTATTAATCCCAAGGCCCACTGAATTCTGCAAAAGTTACCACTTCTTTCCCTGTCACCTTCCATTAAATTGTTTCTTTCAGCTGTCCTGGCAGGCGTTGGTCAAGACCTTCTAGAAAGGCATAATAATGAGTCCTTTTGTCAGAAGGATGTGGGACTGGATCCCAGTACCCAGGGAAAGCCTAGGTCTTCCTAACGTTTAGTCCCAAAGGAAGTACTTATCTAAAATGAATAGAGGCAGAAATTCTATCCAATCTCAGCTCTTGTTCCTGTCCTGGTGCCCTCTTCTGAGTTCAGTATCTATTGCTTCCTAGGAGGTATAGTGGTATAATAGTAGCAAGAGTACCTGACTGGGAGTACCTGTTAGAGAAGATTTGCTACTAAACAGCTGTCTGTATGGTAACACCAGGCAAGGTGATTAATTTTATGTGCCTTGGTTTCCTCACCTATAAAATACAGAGACTGGGCTAGATGACCTCTAGATTGCTTCTTACCTGGCAAACTGACTTTACACGGCTGACATTTGGGAATG